TGGACCCGGCGTGCTCATAAGCCACAAAGGTCAGGAGGCCTCGGATCCTCAAACTACAGTGATTTACAGCAAAACCTCCCAGTGGCCCAGGAGACGGTCTGTTTCGCAGAAAATGCAGATTGGTGGGATGTGGGAACCAGACGTCCCACGTGGACGCGGACTCTCTTTATGCAGCCGGAGCGCCGGCTGAAGTGGTGAGGTCAGCCCTCATTGAGGGCTGCCGGCAGGCATGGTCAGCCTTCACGACCGACATAAAGTCGGCTTTCCTCAGCATGCTGCCCGAAGGTACTTGCTTCGCCCTCCGAGGTGGTTGATCGACTTAGGCTTAGCAGAGCCAGGGGAGTATTACTCCTTAGGGAAGGTTTTGTACGGCTTTTAGGAAGCACCTGCATGGTGGTCAGACCACCGCGATGCCAAGCTGCTCACAGCCAGGTTTCTCGGGTGTCACTTGGAACAAGGGGAGTCAGACTCCTCTATCTGGCGGATCATGAAAGGGAAGAGTCTTGTGGGTTACCTGATAACCTACGTGGACGACTTCTTGGTCCTGAGCGACGAAGCCACCGCAAAAGGGCTTCATGAGTGGATCACCACTGAAGGCGGGTGGGAAACTGATGGGTTGAGCGAGGCCAAGCCAGGAGCACCAATCCGGTTTCTGGGAATGCAGCTGAGCAAGCATGAAGATGGCCACTACAGCCTAGATCAAGAGGCTTATGTGGATGAGCTGATTCGATCCCATGAGCTTCCAGAGGGGACGAGGTCGAGGTTGGTTTGCCCAAAGGAGTATTTGGCAGGCGATGATCATGAGATCCTACCGTTTGATGAGCCAACTGTCAGGCTGGCACAACGGATTGCCGGCGAGTGTCTATGGCTGTCGCAACGGACTCGGATTGACATCGCCTACACGACCGGTATACTATGCTCTAAGGTAGCAGGTGACCCTCACGCTGCAATTGCCATTGGGCAACGTTTGCTGGCATACTTAGCGCAGACTAAGGGGTATAGGCTGCACCTGCGCCCAGACGGTGAGGCGCCTCCCATTCGGGTTTACACTGACGCCTCCTTTAGTCCGCAAGGCCAGCACTCTTTCGGGGGACACGTGGTTGAGGTTTATGGCGTTCCGGTGCTTTGGAAGGCATCAAAGCAGTCGTTGATAGCCTTGAGTTCCTCGGAGGCGGAATTGATTCAGGCGGTGGAAGGATGCACTTATGCCGAATCGCTTCTGACTGTGTTGTCTGACCTTGGAATCCCAGCCACGACAGTGGAACTCAACCTAGACAATACGGCGTCTATCTCCTTCATCGGGGGAGCTGGCAATCAAAGGACTCGTCACTTGAAAGTGAGAGGGCATAAGATCCGCCAGCTGCTAAAGCAAGGTTGGACCGTGAGACACTGTCGCGGGGAGTACCAGAAGGCAGATATCCTTACGAAGCCGTTGTCTTCCCAGAGGACAAAGTTTCTGTGTGATCTTTTGCATTTTGGAGAGTATCCCACCAAGGATCAAGCAGAGGGTGCAGCTGTGAAACGGGTGGCTGCCCAGACAAGTCCCTGCCTTTCGGGATTGCTTGTGCTGCTTCAAGTCTGTTTGTGCAAGGGCAGCTCGGAGGTTTCCGATCATGAAGCAGGGGTGTCCATAGAGTGGCCCTGGGAGCTTGCGGTAGCCACATTGTTGGTGGTGCTATCGACATTGTTCATTTGGGAAGCCAGCGGGGCTCCATATCGACGACGGGAGCCTGCGGCCCAGGTGTGTGCAGTGTCTACAGAGCAGAGCTCCAGGCGGTCCCGAAGACTCCAGGAGAAGGTTGCAGCGGCTATAAGCAGCGAAGTGAGTAGCCCAACTGGGGATGACGAGGTTCATCCCAAGCAGAGCGGGAGGTACAAGTGCGCGGCTCAACCGTTGACACCGCTCCCTGGGACAAGTGCCGGTCCTACGGTGGTGTATGGTGGCATCAGCATGCATATGCACAGCGCGCACCCTCCAGAGGAGCAGACTGCCTCTGCTTTCCTGTCGGGCCAAGCTTTCACTGCAGCCTGCAGCGGTACCCATTCCGCAACCTCTCCTGTTCAGGTCGCATACCCTGCAACTTCAACCGCCACTATGCCTTCTCAGCCTTCCGGATCTGTTGGACATTCGGGGTTCACTGGTGAATCTTCTACAGGAGGACCTAGCAGGAGTAGAACCGTAGGAGTCTCCACTGCAGTTCAAACGGATCCTGTTATTGTGCTGGGGCCATCCGAGAGAGTGTATTTTTCTGAGGTGGGGGTGATTGTGTTCACAACTGTGAGAACTGCCGAGGGCTTCGACAGGTAGGGCACATCAAGAATCGCAAGGTGTGTCAATACTGTATCAGGGCCCGAAATCTTTGAGTAGTGTGGCTTAAGACTAGCGTCAAAGCCAAGGAGGAGTTTGAAATACCAGACATTCGTTTGTACAGCTGGTGCACTCTCTCATGTTGACTGCTGAAGTGCATGGCTCACAGCGGTGAGTCATGGTGGGCTTCACACCTTTAGAAGTCACGACACAGCATAGGTCTCTAGGCGAACTGAGCCTAAGACAGTACGTTGTTGTGTGCGTCGCCCGTAAAAAGGCAGTTAGATCCCCTCGCGCGCTCATGGTGTGATCGGAACCACGGAGTTTGCATTTCGTCGATTCCGGATTAGGGTTTCTTTTGGAAACATGAGGCCGAGTGAGGACATGAACCCCAACCTGAGTGATTTACCTCCTGGTCAGACTGGTGACGACTCTACCAGCAGGGAAGTTCGTGATGATGATCAACAATAATGCTACCATATATATATATATATATATATATATCTACATACATATAGTAACATATATATTAATTCTACAAATACTGTGTATATATATATACATATATTACTAGCATACATACGAAAAATGCTATATCGTATATAGTATAATGCTATATATTATGAAATATACATAAATAAATAAATATATATATATATATATATATGTACTATGTATGAACTACTACGGCTACTGCTACTGCTACTGCTACTGCTACTGCTACTGCTACTGCTACTACTACTACTACTACTATCCTTAACCCTTTGCGCCGAACCAGAACCACAGGGTTTAGATCAACAAGGCTTATATGAAAGGAACCCAAAATCTCATTTTTGTATGTGGTTGGCTTTATTTGTGTTTAAAAGTGTTTTTTTGTATTTAAAAGTATTGTTTTGTATTTAAAAGTTTTTTAAATAGGTTTTTTTGTGTTTTACAGTTGTTAAAATTATTTTATTTTATTTTTGGTATAGAAAAATACATGCTTGTGAATTATGAGTTTTTGTTTCTGATTGAGTCAAATGGCTTCCTGTTGTTCTACCTGGTTTCCTGCTGCTGTATGTCTACAAATTTGTTGTTTATTTGTTGTTGAAGTTGATAATTTTTAATATTTAATCTTTTTAAATAGTTTTGGGTTGTGATTGAACAAAGAAGGGAGGCCGTAGTGACATGTTGACTTGCCTTGAGATCTTGCCCTTACCCACACGGATCGACTGCCCTTCTCGGTTCGTGGGCACCGTTGGCCGGGTGTCAGGTTATGAGGCGATTGTATCTAGACCGCCTTGGGGCCAACGTGACAGGGCAGTGGCATATGACACCCGGACAAATGGGCTAAAGTGCCGGGTGGGGCGGTTGAGGGGTTGTTCGCAGCCGTGCTTACAGCCTTGAAGGGGAGGCCATCCATGCTTGTCACGTTAGTTAGGGAGCCTTGCGACTTGGATCGACAGAGGCAGAGTGCCACCTTACCCACACGGATCGACTGCCCATCTCGGTTCGTGGACACCGTGGGCCGGGTGTCAGGTGTTGTCGATGGTACCTGGACCGCCTTGGGGCCAACGTGCCAGGGCAGTGGCATATGACACCCGGGCACATGGGCTAAAGTGCCGGGTGGGGTGGTCCAGTGGTTGTGGCTTTTTTATTTTTCTCCCAACCAGGAGGGGAGGCCATCCATGCTTGTCACGTTAGTTAGGGAGCCTTGCGACTTGGATCGACAGAGGCAGAGTGCCAGTCGAGCCTCTCGAGGTTGCCTTACTTAAGTCCCTGCCCCATCGGGGTTGCTCCCCACACCGTTGGCCAGGTCTAAGTGTTCGGTTTGAATCCAAGCCTAGTGAACGCCTTCTCTTCCATTTCCTTCTCTCCCATCGGTCTTCATCGGCTTCCAGCCCATCGAGAAGTGGATGCCAACTGCTGGGATCTCAGCATCAGCTTGCTTCAGCTACTTCCATTATTATGGTACAGTCCTGGCACCGAGGCTCATGACGAGGATCCTGAGGACATGCTGCCATCGCAGAGGACAAGCTGCCTTGCATAGTCAGTGAGCGTGTCATGTATCGCAACTTGCCGCTGCAGCAGTTGTGCTCGCTGTTGCCCTGCGTAATCTACTATAGTCGTGTTACAGCTGCTCTGTCTCTAGTCTAAGTCGTAGTAGGCCCCCCTGCAAGCCGGCAGATGTCGTCGATGTCGTGGAGTGACAGTGAGTCTGTGGGCTCGGACTGGGTTCTGGTTGACGATGAGGGTGCAAGTACTGCGGGCTCGGTCGCGGACAGTGCTGACGACGATGATTATGTGATTCCGTTCGACGAGATGCTAGAGGAGTCCTTTTCGACATTGTGGATGTTTCTGGATTCTAAAGAGCGTGGGCAAGTCTTTCGAGCAGCCTTCCATATCAATGAACAGATCATGTTCGTACTGTTTCCGAGACTTTTGCGGGATTTTAGGCAAGGCAGAGTGCCAGGAATTTTATATTTCAATGTGACAGACGAATGGCTGTCGTCACTGAATCAATGATTTGTCGTGTTTGTACAGCCTCCGCGACAGTATCACGGATCTTGGGGAAGGCAGAGTGCCGGGTTTGCGTGTGTTTAGGGGATTTTGAATTCGACGATCTAGCCAGCAGAGCTAGACTGTCCGATTTGAGACCTCAGCGGTAGTGTGCGCAACTTGGATTCAAAACGGTTACCCAGCATGACATGCTGACTACACAGTGCCGGGTGGCAGTGATGTCCTCAGGACCCTGCTGTCTCCGAGGCTGGCTGCCTGCCTGCATAGTCTGTCAGTGAGTTGACTTGCACCATACATGATCGACATCTGCCGGCCAGAGAATCAAGCGATTCATGCATACTGATGTAACAGTAGTAACAAAATGTTACATATCATTGATTAATGTACTATATAGTGATGCATTAGTCACTGTTAATGTTTTAATCGTTGGACAATTGTGTGCTCGATGAAAGCAGTGATGCCGACGACCTGCTCTGTCTCTAGTCTAAGTCGTAGTAGGCCCCCCTGCAAGCCGGCAGATGTCGTCGATGTCGTGCAGTGACAGTGAGTCTCTGGACTCGGACTGGATTCTGGTTGCCGATGAGCGTGCAAGCACTGTGGCCTCGATCATGGACAGTGACTACGATGATTATGTGATTTATTTCGACGCGCTGCTAGAGGAGTCCTTTTCGACATTGTGGTTCTTTCTGAATTCTGAAGAGCGTGGGCATGTCTTGCAAGTAGACTGGCATATCAATGATATGATCCTGCACGTACTCTTTCCGAGATTTATGCAGGATTACAGTGAAGGCAGAGTGCCAGGAATTTTATATTACAATGACGTGCGAGACGAAGCTCTGTCGTCAATGATGAATCAGTGATTCATCGTGTTTGTACAGCCTCCGAGACCGTATTACGGATGTTGGGGAAGGCAGAGTGCCGGGTTTGCGTGTGCTTAGAGGATTTTGAATTCGACGATCTAGCCAGCAGAGCTAGACTGTCCGATTGGAGACCTCAGCGGTAGTGTGCGCAACTTGGATTCCAAAAGGTTACCCAGCATGACATGCTGACTACACAGTGCCGGGTGGCAGTGACGTCCTCAGGACCCTGCTGTCTCCGAGGCTGGCTGCCTGCCTGCCTGCCTGCATAGTCTGTCAGTGAGTTGCCTTGCACCATACATGATCGACATCTGCCGGCCAGGGAATCAAGTGATTCATTCATACTGATGTAACAGTAGTAACACAATGTTACATATCATTGGTTAATGTACTGTATAGTGATGCATTAGTCACTGTTAATGTTTTAATCGTTGGACAATTGGGTGCTCGATGAAAGCAGTGATGCCGACGACCGTTTCAAGGTGCTCAGGGAGTTCCGAGGCAGAGTGCCAGACTTCTGCTGCTGACCATCAGAATCAGGCCAATCACATTGACCTTGGCAGTGATTACTGGAACGAAGCCGTGCAACAACTTCGGTGGAATTGTTTACACTGTGGCAGATCAGCTGCCGACTATACCACCGGGCTCCGAAAGATCCAAAGGGCTGCACAATTGGATCAACGAATCAAATTGGCAGTTGAGGCCATCTCAGATTTCGGAGATATGGATATGAAGTTGTACAAAGCATGGACCGGCCAGACAGATGTGCTGCCTGGGTCGATCCCGCCACCTCGGCCATGCCAGCATGATGTCGAGACGTGGCCCATGGATGATGTTTTGATTTACGACCATCCCCAGTGGCAACTGTTTGTTGGCAGTATTGGTTGCCCGATCCGATATGACCAGCTCCGGGTCAAGCCTGACATTGTCATCTCTATGAATGCAGATGACAGACCTCGGAATTTTGAGCCATGGGACTGGTATCAGTATTTGGCGAATTGTGGACCGTTTGGCACTGCACATCTTCGGTATGGTGGCTGGGATCAAACACATGCCAATGACTTTGATGCTGAACAAAGAAGTCATGAGTTCAAGACCATTTGGCGCCGCCTCATTTCAGATTTCAGAAAGATTATGATGTGCTGGCAGCGCTCAGCAGAGGAGTTCAGCCAGAGTCAAAGGCAGAGTGCCATCAAGGGCAAAATGATGGGCAAGGCCAATGGCGGCAGGGGCAAGGGCAAGACAATCAGCAAGGGCTACAGCGGCCCCTGTCAGGTTTCCAATCACATGCAAAGCCAGAAGGCATCGACGAAGGGCTCATTTGGCTATGGCTGCTCCTATGACAAGGGCTTCAGCAAGGGAAGTGACATGGGCAGCCTGTTCGGAAGAGCCGCTGATGGAAGGCAGAGTGCCGATGGAAGGCAGAGTGCCTTGAAGGTGGCCGATGAGACATTCCCTGGTGAGCTCGGTAATGCTCTTGC